CGGCAGGCCAGATGTTCAGCTGGGGCGACTGGAACGAGCCCGCCCCAACCAACAGGATTTGCAACATTCCTGAAATTCGGTGGCGCCCCTCACGCAGATCGGCGGGGTCAGGGTCGACGAACGAACAGATCCCGACACTGCGTCACGGCGGCGCCCAGACCTCATGATTTAGCTTTTGCATCTCCCATTATCCGAGACAGGGGGCCGGCGGCGTGGGGCGAAACCCTTACGGATAAATCGACTGTCAAACGCACAACATGTATATAGACACAAGAGTAGCGTGATACATAAGAGTGGCTGCAGGTGTTTGAGAAGGAACGCACATTCACAAAACAAAGGTTCAAACTAAAGGCCAATCTAGGAGCCAATATAAGGGCCGATCTACGGGCGAAACTAAGAGACAAACTAAGGGCGAAGACCAAAACTTAGTTTTCTACGGGCTCCGGATGCTCAGGGAAGGGTCGGGCTCATTCCTGCCACGCTCGGCGCACAAATATCAATGCTGATTACGTTGTGCAGTTGTTCCTCCGCCTCAGAAATCCATCGAAATGCTGCGAATATATGAAATATTCCCAGCGCTTGTCGATGTCATAACAAGCTCCGCTGGCGCTTTCAAGGAAATTACGCAGTGCTTGGTGCGGCCCTCCCAGGCGCGTGTCTTGCACGAGGAAGTAGCTCCCTGGCGTCACGAAATGATGGTAGGCATCAAGGTTTGCCTTCACGTGATCGTAGATGTGATCCGAATCCTCAATAACCATAACAGTATTGGCGCGCGACGCGGCCTCCGTGGCAATGGCGATGGCCTCAGGTGAATCTGGAAAACCATGGAAAAAACGTATGGATCCATTGGGGCCCCAAACGCTTGTTTCAGTAGAGTGCATGCAATGTGGGCAATGAATTTCGACCTCCTGATCGTTCCATTGTTTCAGCGGCACTGCTCCAGGTCCGCTTGCTGGGTCTATAGTCTGCCGACCCCCGCATGCCAGGGGCCAAAAGGCGCGTTAAACATTTGACCCCCCCCCCTCCCCCTGATGTTTTCCCCCACGACGGTTCAAAATCTCGCAGAAGGGGGGGGGGGCGGGGGAGGGGGGCCACGAACTCCACGGCGCACCCCAGGAGCCTCCAGAGCCTTCAAATCTACATTCCGTCGTCTCCACGACGGTCCAAGGTCCCGAATCGCTGAATAAGTGGCACAAGGCGCGCAAGCCGGAGCCAAGATGGCCCAGAAGCCTTCGAGACGCCCAAGGGAGGCCCGAGAACCTTCTCAAGACGGCCCCGAGAAGCAAAACGCATTGATTTTCTCCAGGTGCTTCACTGCGTTCGGGGTTCTCGCCCTTTCGAGCTTCCGACGCTCCAAAGAAGGGCCGAGAGGCTCCCAACGGGCTCCCGAGAGGCCCCAAAGACTGCCCAAGAGGCCCCGGCTCTTAGACGACCCCGAGACGGCCGAAGAAGGCTACAAGACAGCGCGAAGGGGGCCTCGAGAGGGAGAACACGAACCGAAAATACGAGCTCTGCGCGCCAAAAGGCCCCATTGAGGCCCCACAGGCCCTCAAGGCCCAAAGGGCCCCTGAGAGGCCCAAAAGAACCCTCAAGCACCCAAGACGCTTCAAAAGCGCCTCCTGGGTGCCCCCGAAAGGCCTCCCACGGGGTGGAAACGGACATCCAGACCCATAACCCAGGCACGGTGGCTCCTGCTTTATATCATCATCGTTTTTGAGTTGTGCATCATTTGGTCCGTCACCGTGCACTCCTTCCCTGAGGTGGGGCTCGACGGAATGGCGTCGGCCTCTCGAATGAGAATCCTGGCGCTGGGGTTATACTCGCGCATGATACGAGCATAGAAGAACGCACTGCCGCCACCTGCTGTGCCCAACTCTATAACGAGATCGGGCTGAACCCTCCCGAGCATGTCCATGATCACAAATGCATCGGCAGGGTCCTGCTGGTTGGAAACCCCAAAGAAGACCTGACAAGAGCGCAATCTGGCCGACTGGTACAATCTCTCGTAGCCCATGGACACCGTACTCACAGACACAATTCTGTTGTCCAGTATCATCACAACATCACCAAAATTGTAGCCAGAGGCTGTCCTTGTCAATGGCCCTGATTCGCGAAGTTTCGCAGATACGGCTGCGTTCTTGGATAAGCAGTCAGCCTTGAATGATTCATTGCTGCTAACACATAAATTTGCCCCTGATCCTGCCCCGAACGAATTCAACGTGGACGTCCGCCACTCCCCCAGGGCCTCTACCTCAAACGTGGCGCTCCTGTGTGCCACCTTGGGGCCACGCGGCTTGGGAAAAGGAGAAGACAGCGATGCCCACAACGATCCTTCTTGCGGCATTTGCGCTCCGAAGTACTCGGAGTATGCGACATGTATTATGTTAGGGGGGTGATTTGCACTAAAACCAACAAGAAACACAACCACATATGATGCCGCGAAAGCAGCAGCTCGTGTCCGCGTAGCGCATGCAGACCGCTCGCGCGTCGAGGACCCCATGTCGAGGGATCTTTAGCGGAGTCAGAAGCTGCGATAATAGCGAAGCAGGGGATGCTGACGTCTGGGCACAAGTAAATGAAACCACTGCGCAAGATTGAGCACATCGGTCTCGGGGAAGATTGCCCGAGCAAAAATGGTTACGGACTCTCTTGGGCCCATGTTGGGGCCCCCTTCGAGCTCTCTTTGGCCCTATGGGAACCTCTTGAACCGTCTTAGGCCCCGCTTGTGCCGTCCTGAAGCCCATTTGAAAGCCTCCGGGACGGTGTTGGGGCGATCATGGGGGCCTCTTGGGCCGTCATGGGCGCGGTGAAGACTAAGCGTCGAAACGTGTGCGAATGTCAACCAGCGTGGGCCCAAAACTGCTGTTTTCGTGCAAGCTGCGCGGTGCCATCTATGAGTTTCAGGCTATGCAGTGCCATCTATGTTAAGCCATATGCGTGGTGCAATCTATGTGGTGCAACCCCTGCGTTGGGAAATCGATGTGGTGTTCAGCTATGTGGTGCAATCTATGTGGTGTAAGCTATGTTGTGCTATCTATGTTGGGCAGTCTATGGTGTGCAAGCTACTTGGTGACATTTGAGTTGTGCAAGATAAGTGGGACAAGCTGCGTCGCGCAATGTGTGTGGGGCAATCTATGCTATTACTCGGTTGGAATCGATTGGGTTGGAGCCGATTGGATTGCAATCGATGGGGGGGCAACGAGGCAGTGGTGATGGGTGGCGACGAAACGACGACGGGGCGCCGACAGCGGCCAAAGGCAGCGGACCTGGCACAAGAGCACAAACGACGGGCGGCGACGAAGCGACGCGAGGGCGGCGGCAGCAGCCACAAGGTGGCGGACCTGGCACGAGAGCCCAATCGTTCCCAACCATCCTGTGGTGTTGGGTCCTCGTTTTGAAGAAACAGCGCCCCGCGTTCCCCTCCTCCTCCTCCTCCTCCTCCTCCTCCTCCTCCTCCTCCTCCTCCTCCTCCTCCTCCTCTCCTCCTCCTCCTCCTCCTCCTCCTCCTCCTCCTCCTTCTCCTCCTCCCACCCCCTCCTCCCGCTGCCTCCATTTTGGCGCACCACTCACACGCTTCGTGACCATAGGGAGCTGCACCGAAGGCCCCAATGGCAGGGTTCGCATGCAGTTCCACCTCCATTTCGGCGCTCCCCATCGCACGCTTCGCGGCCCCATATGGTGCTCCGCCGAAGGCCCCAGTGGCAGGGTCCGCATGTAGTTCCACCCCCATTTCGGCGTACCCCTCGCACGCTTCGCGGCCCCATATGGTGCTCCACCCAAGGCCCCAGTGGCAGGGTCCGCATGCAGTTCTACCCCCATTTCGGCGTACCCCTCGCACGTTTCGCGGCCCCATAGGGTGCTCCGCCGAAGGCCCCAGTGGTAGGGTCCGCTCCGCATGCAGTTCCACATCCGTTTCGTCGTACCCCTCACGCGTTTCGTGGCCCCATAGGGTGCTCCGCCGAAGGCCCCAGTGGCAGGGTCCGCATGCAGTTCCACCCCAATTTCGGCGCACCCCTCGCACGCTTCGCGGCCCCACAGGGTGCTCCGCCCAAGGCCCCAGTGGCAGGGTCCGCATGCAGTTCCACCTTCATTTCAGCGCACCCTTCACACGTTCCATCGCCCCATAGGGTGCTCCACCGAAGGCCGCAGTGGGAGGGCCCGCATGCAGTTCTACCTCCACTTCTGCGCACCCCTCGCATGTTTCGTGGCCCCATCGGGTACTCCGCCGAAGGCCCTGGTGACAGGGTCCGAATGCAGTTCCACCTCAATTTCGGCGGCACCCCTCACACGTTTCATCGCCCCATGGGTTGCTCCGCCCAAGGCCCCAGTGGCAGGGTCCGCATGCAGTTCCACCTCCATTTCGGCGCACCCCTCGCACGTTTCGTGGCCCCATAGGGTGTTCCAGCGAAGGCCCCAGTGGCAGGGTCCGCATGCAGTTCCACCTCCATTTCGGCGCACCCCACGCACGTTTCGCGGCCCCATAGGGGGAACTCCGCCGAAGGCCCCAGTGGCAGGGTCCGCATGCAGTTCCACCTCAATTTCAGCGCACCCCTCACACGTTTCGCGGCCCCACAGGGTGCTCCGCCCAAGGCCCCAGTGGCAGGGTCCGCATGCAGTTGCACACCCATTTCGGCGCACCCCTCACACGTTTCGTGGCCATCGTCTGGTCCACAGAAGGCCCCGGTGGCAGGGTCCGCATGCAGTTCCACCTCCCAAGAAGCCCCTAAGAGGCCCCCAAGAGGCCCCACGAGTTCTAACAGAGGCCTAAAAGGGACCCAAAACCGCTCCCAAGAGGCCTCCAAACTGCCTCCAGGAGGCATCCAGCAGGCCTCTCACGAGATCCCTACGAACATCAAGTAGGCTTCATGCCCACAACCCAGGCACCTTGACGGGGTGGGCCCAAAGCCATTCGATCCGCCGCCCCCTGTCCACTCATCGCAGGGGTGCCTGGCGTGCTAAATTATTTCGGTTTTGGTTTTGGTTCTTTTTCCAAAAGAACTTCCCCTGGGGCTTCGGCCCGTCCGCCGGGGTCCCGGGACCATCTTCACGGAGCTCAATTCCCGGAAAAATCCTCCAAGACTGCTAACGATGGCCTCCAAGATGGCCACGTTGGCCCAAGATGGCCTCCAAGATGGTCCCAGATGGCCTCCAAGTCCGCCGAAGATGGTCCAAGATGGCCTCCAAGACGGCCTCAGAGAGTCCAAGGTGACCCCAAGTTCGCCCAAGAAGCCTCCAAGACGCCTCCAAGACGGCCCAAGAGGCCTCCAAGAGGTCCTCCAGGAGGGCCCAAAGAGGCCAAAATCATTGATTTTGGAGTTTGCATCTTCTCGGTATTCCGACGGATCAAGACGGCCCAATAGGCCCCCAAAATCGCCCCAAGATCGCCCGAGAGGCCTCCAAGATGGCCTCAGGACTGCCCAAGAGGCCGCCAAGACGGCCCCAAAAGGGCACAAAGACCGCCCAAGAGGCCTCCAAGACGCCCAAGAGGGCCCCAAGGAGCATCCCAAGAGGGCCCCAAGTCGGCCCAGAAAGGCTCCAAAGACGGCTTCCGACGGCGTCAGACGGGCCAGGAGCCCACCAAGATGGCCGAAGTTGGCTTGAAGCTGGCCCAAGACGGCCCAAGAGGACTCCAAGAGGGCCTCCAGGAAGGCCAGAAAAGGCCAACAACACTGATTTTCTTAGGTTTTTGCAGGATTTTGACATTTGCTTATTTTTGGCCTTGCGACGGCCCGATACGGCCCACGAGCCCCCAAAGATCGCCCACAGATCGCCCAAGATGCCTCCAAGATGGCCCCGGAACGGCCCAAAAGGCCCCCAAGATGGCCCCAAGACGGCCCAAGAGGCTTTTAAGATGCCCAAGATGGCCTCCAAGACGGCCCTGGAGCATTCCAAGAGGGCCCCAAGTCGGCTCAGAGGGGCCCCCCAAACAGCTTCCGACGGCGTCGGACAGGCCAGGGGCCCACCAAGACGGCCGAAGATGGCACAAAGATTGCACAAGACGGCCCAAGAGGCCTTCAAGAGGGCCTCCAGGAAGGCCCGCAAAAGGCCAAAATCATTGATTTCCCATAAGTTTTTGCAGGATTGTGGCATTTGCTTTTTGTTCGGCTTCCGACGGCCCGAGACGGCCTAAGTGCCCCCAAAGATCGCCCAAGAGGCCCAAGACGGCCCCAAGAGGCCCCCAAGACGGTCCAAGAGGCCTCCAAGACGCTCAAGATGGCCTCCACGACGGCCCAAGAGCCCTCCAAGACGTCCTCCAAGAAGGCCCGAAAGGGTCAAAATGGCCTCCTGGCGGCCAAGATGACCTTCAAGATGTCCACGTGTTCCCCGAAGACTTTCCAAACCGATTCGGGGAACACATGGTCCGATGGCTTGGCAGGTCTGGCCTCAATGTTCGGCCACATAGGCGCTTCCAAAAAAGCAGGCAGCGGCGGTGATTCGCAGTAGGCGTCTTCGATCCGCCGCCCCCTGTTGGCATGCCACAAAGGTACCTGGCGTGCTAGACGCTACCGTTTTCGGTGTTGGTTCTGTTCCCAAAAAATTCCCCCTGGGGCTCCGGTCCAGCCCGCCCCGGCCACCCGGAAGGGATCGCAAGATCCGGTTGCCAAGGTTTTACCTGCTCCAGATGGCTCCAAGACGACCCAAGCTGGCCTCCAAGATGGTCCCTCGATGGCCTCCAAGACGGCCCAAGACACTTCCAAATCCGCCCAAGAAGCCTCCAAGACGGCCCAAGACTGCTCAAGAGGCGCCAAAGAGGCCTCCAAGACTGCTTAAGAGCCGCAAAGCGGTTCTCCAGGAGGGCCCGAAGAGGCTACGTGAAATCATTGATATCCCTTAGGTTTTTGGCAGATTTTCGTATTTGCTCTTTTTCGGCCTTCCGACGCCCCAAGAGGCCTCCAAGAGATCGCCCCCAAGAGTGCCCAAGGCCTCCAACATGGCCTCAGGACTGCCTAAGAGGTCCCCCAAACCAGCCCAGGAGGCCTCTATGACGGCCCGGGAAGCCTCCAAGGCGGCCCAGGAGACCACCAACACGGCCCAAGATGGCTCTGAGATGGCCCTAGACGGCCCAAGAGGCCTCCAAGAGGGCCTTCAGGAAGGCCCGAAGAGGCCGAAATCATTGATGATCTTCGGGTTTTCAGAAATGTTGGTATTTGTTTCTTCTCGGCCTTCCGACGGCCCGAGACGGCCCAAATTGCCCAAAACGCCTCCAATATGGCCCCCAAACGGCCCAAGATGCCCCCAAGACGGCCCCAAGAGGGCCCAAGAGGCCTCTAACGCGCCCAAGAAAGCCTCCAAGACAGCCCTGCAGCACCCCAAGAGGGCCCCAAGTCGGCCCAGAGAGGCGCCCAGAACGGCTTCCGACGGCGTCAGGCGGGCCAGGAGCCCACCAAGACGGCCGCGGCCCGAACATGGCCCAAGACGGCCCAAGAGGCCTCCAAGAGGGCCCCCAGGGAGGCCCGAAGAGGCCCAAATCATTGATTCTCTTCAACATTTTTCACTCAG